GAAAAGCAGGCTAGATGCTTGCATGGGTGAATGCCAGCAGTTGTGTCAATAGGAAAAGGCTATCTGGGGGTCAGGCATATTCAACATGGCCACCCCATCTTCCCTTTTGTTTGTCAACCACATGTACAATAAAGAAGCAGGCAACATGGCACGGGCCAGGTAGAGAACTCATCTGCATAATAAAAGATTAGGGTGGGGTGGCCATCTTCTTTGTGGGCTATGCAAATGACACATCTGGTCTGACCAATCTCTCATCCTCTATGTAAATCAGACACTACCTCCTCAGGCTCATCTATAAAACCCTGTACATTTCACCATGGAGCCAGAAGACCCACTTAGAAGCCCCTCTCTCTGCAGGAGAGGGAGCTTTTCTCTTTCACCTATAAAACCTTCGCTCTTAACCTCACCCCTTGTGGGTTCACATCCTTGATTTCCTTGATATGAGGCAACGAATCTCGGGTATTACCCCAGACAAATTATGTTGTTTCATTAGTATGCTCTTCTAAAGATTTTTTTCAACAAGCTATTGTCCAAAGAATATTATATGTTAAAAAAATATGTTTCTTGTCCTTTCCACTGAAAATAAATAGAAGAGATTATCAACTTCATGACAATTATTATAACTAGTGCTCAGATTCTTATCTTAATTTAATATTTTCCAATCAATGCAAAGAGGACTTTTTGGAGAAATTATTGATTCCAGATGTAATACAGGAAAGTGTAACATGAGCCTGGAAAAACATACTACTTAAGAAGGAAGCTATCTAATACTAAAAGTATAATGTCCATGAGAGTCAGAAGACAACTTGAAGACTTTCTCCCTCGTTAAATCACTCCAAAGAGGTAGAGATGTTAATTTAAATCTTCCTTGAAATGCATATGTCAAACACTAATATGACCAAAAGATGATTTCAAAATTGTGAATCTATGTGTTTATAATGATACCAACAAAAAGATACTGGTGAATCAACTTGGAATACTGAATGAAGAACAAAGTAAGCATTCATCTGAGATTTTCTATATGAATTGTAACAATGTATAAGGAAATGGTAAATGTTAGATTAAGAATATAATCATTTTGTAGCATAGTGAACAAATGAATCCAGCCATTGATCATCAATGAAACCACCACAGCAGGATTGTAACTGAGATAGTGAAGGAGATCCAACCTAGCCAATTCCATCTTGCTTCTAACCTCCGGGTTGTCCTTGTTCATTCTAGGCGGCTGAACTGACTTTAGGAGGAACTTAGTTTTCCAGGGCAGGCCTTTGTCTTGCCTGGGGACCAGACTGCCTTTGTAGAACTAACAAATTAGCCACAAGATTAGAAATTATGGTTTAGGAGTCATGCAGCTGGAGGCTACAGGATTCTGACCCTCCCTAAACTACTCCTAAGATAGTACTTGAGATATTTTGCAAACCCTGCACTTGACAAATCAGCGGCACCACCCAAATGGATAAACTGGCTCATCTGATCTTGTGATCCCTACCAAGGAACTGACTCAGTGCAAGAAAACAGCTTCGACTCCCTGTGATTTCATCTAGGTCCTGATCAATCAGACTCACGGCTCACTAGCTTTTCCCCACCCACCAAGTTGTCTTTAAAAACTCTGATTCCCACACCTTGGGAGGCCAAGGCAGGCAGATCACCTGAGGCCAGGAGCTTGAGACTTGCCTGGCCAACGTGGTGAGACCCAGTCTCTACAACAAATGTAAAAGTTAGCCAGGCATGGTGGTGCGCACCTGTAGTCCCAGCTACTCAGGAGGCTGAGGCAGGAGAATCACTTGAACCTGGGAGGCCAAAGTTGCAGTGAGCTGAGATCATGCCAATGCACTCCAGCCTGGGCGACAGAGTGAGACTCTGTCTCAAACAACAACAACAACAACAACAACAACAACTATTGTGGGATCTGGTCAGCAGCCCACAATGCAACAGGGCTCTCTTTTTGTTCCCAGGCAGATCAGCAGGTCAAGAAATAATAGACACACACAAAATAGTAAAAGCCGGGTACAGGGGGTCACCGCCTTCTGGTCCCACGATGACACCAACGCACTGGATATGCTAGCATTTTTTATTAAGTTTAGTGAGGGCGGGGGTAGCTTAGTGAGGGATTAATGTCATTTGATTATGAGGTGAAATGGTCGCATGGGGATGAAGTAATTCCTTAACATAACATCTGTATGCAGAAGTATAGTATACAAAGGTAAGAATTTACAGTATAGTATGTGCATCAGTAATTTCTAACAGAGCCTTAAAAAAGAAACACGGTCTTTCCATAACCTATGACTAGCAAAATATTAATCAGTAGTAACAGTTGCAGCAAGATATTCATCAGCAGTAACAGTTGCAGCAAAAGCTGGTTACAAACAATCCATAGAAACAGGATGTGAAGCTAGACAACCGGTAAGAACAGAAATTCTCAGAAGGGAGTATGCCTTTACCCTAAAGAGGCCTAGAAGAGCCATGGCAAGATGAGGGTGTTTATAGCCCTATCTTATCCATATGAAAAGGTGCCTTCATGCATCCGTTTATAGGCTCTCCACAAGGGTAGCATTCCATTCCCAGAGCTATGAACATCTGCTTTTCTGGGATAGGAATCTTGGTGATGTGAAATCTCCCTGACTGCACGTCTGTTCGTAGGCTCTCTGCAGGGGGAAGCACATCATGCACTGTTGGCTCATTCTGGCAGTCCAACCTGGCATTGTCTTTACACAATCCTGCATGCAACTTTGTATTTACAATAATCAGGAGCATTTCATCTTTTATTCCATAGCAATAGTTTCAGGAGGTCTCCCTACAAACAACAACAACAACAACAAAACACCTCTGATCCCCGATCCCAGAATCCTCAGGGAGACTGATTTGAGTAATAATAAGACTTGGGTCTCCTGCACTGCCAGCTATGCATGAATTACAGGATTCGTTCTTTCTCTATTGCAGTTCTCCTGTCTTGATAAATCGGCTCTGTCTAGGCAGCAGGCAAGGTGAACTCACTGGGCTGTTACACAAATAGCTGCTAATTATTTTTTTAATCAATTAAACATGTATCTGTTGAAAGTATAAAATTCTTTTTTGAATTAGTTTTGAAAGGAAAAAAATGCCTAAGCCTAAACCTCAATTAAGCCTTTACATCTAAATAGCAACAACAGGATATCAATAGGGCAAGGATGCAATCAAGCGAGGCATTAATGCACTTTTCCCTCTGTGAATAATGATAGAATTTCCTGCTTATTAATTGAGTTATTATAATAAAAACATAACATCATTTTTATGATGGTCACAAAAGTGATCAACAAAAATTAAGTGATTAAGGGTAACACTCCTTATGATATGGAAACATATCTGCCAAAATGTTCCTTTACTAAATGTTCCTTTACTAAGTGAAATACATCTTAAGTATATATATTTTTGATTTCTAAATTATACCCCAATAAAGCTGGAAAAGAAAAACTAAAACATTATTTGATTACTTAAATTTATTATTGTATTTTTATATATTAAATACACATTTCATAATTTTATTAAAACATATAATGCCTATTTTGTGTTAAATAATCTGTATTATATAATATGCATTATTAGTTTAAATACATTAAATGTTAAATAAATGGCTTATCTGATTATACATTTTTTTGCCAAAATATTTGGGAAACATAAAAAGAACACTAAGGAGAATAATTAGTTATAATTCACAAACCAGAATTTCACATAAATAAAAGCATATTTTATGGGTTTTTTACTAGAATGTTGAAGGGATAACAGATGTAAAGGCCAAGATAAACAATAAGATGGACAAATTGACACTGTTATTAAATATTGCAATTTATAATGATAATTGAGTTAGTTAACCTGATAGCATTTTTTAAAAACTTGTGAGCACAATACTTGCATTATGATAGTTATTCCTTACTTAGCATTGTGAAATAACCTTTTGCTTTTTGATGCCGTAACACTTAACCAAGCCTTAGGATAAAAAACAAAAATGGGATATGTAGAAAATTTTTCTAATCTCAAAAAGATGATTAAATATCAATTAGATTGTGCTCTAGTTTTGTAAGAAAATGGATGTCATAGCTATTTTTATTACTCATGAAATATTAAGTATGCATAAAATATTAATTGCAATTAATGGAAGTAAATATTTCACAGAAGACAATATTTGAGGTCCTCTGTGGGCTAAAAGATGAACTTAACTGCTCTCAAGGGAGATAGACTACAGATAAGAGTTAGGAGACTACTGAGAAATCCAAAGGCGGATTTCCGAAATCTCTCATGGTCTACAATACAACAGAGGTGTGGCCTGGACTTTGCTTTGTTCCCAGATCAAATCTTTTGAGGTCAAAACAAAGAAACTTGAAATGATTTAGATATAAGTATGACCAGAGGGAAGCCAGATACCAGAATCTAACTCATAATATCCAATGTGTCACATATTTATCTGTTTTCTCTTTAAATGTTTTTTCCTTTTTTGAACTTCTAGCTCAACATTATTGAAGAGGAATGAATTTTTTTTAACTTCTAGTTCAACATTATTGAAGAAGAATGAATTTTTTTTAACTTCTAGTTCAACATTATTGAAGAGGAATATAATGTGTTTCCACATCTTCCAAAAGTTTCTGGCATTCCATTTTTATTTCCTGAAGTATTTCCCTTAAACCATTATAAAATAGAGAAAAACATAAAATAAAATTTGGTAAGTGTGAACTTTGGTAGTGTCCAGAAGAGAAGCAATAATTTTACATTCTATCCATCATAACAGAAATTTGACAATCTAAAATATGGAGGAGACAACTATTAGGATTTTAGCAGACCACGTCTATAGAATACCAGCAGTGCTTGAATAGCTGGAAATTAACTGACTAGGTTCAAATGAATGTGAGAGGGTTTCCTATACAATTCTGGATATCTTTATGAATGAATGGTTACATAAGGATGAATGGTCTTATGTGGGACAAAATTTACTAGGAAATAAAACTTTTTTCCATAAAACTCTGAAAGGAAGATGTTCAAATGGAAGATGCACTAAGTTATAATCCAAGTGAGAGAGCTGCTGAGATCTAAGGCAAGTAGTTACTTTTCCAATTTATGCTTCAGAGCAAAATGAAAAATAGATAAATACCACATGTTCCCTTAAGCTCAAAATTAAAAATATCTGTATGTATAATATATACACACATTTCTTGTGAGTCATAGAAGACATCAAACATTAAAGATTTTGACGGAATTATAAGACAAACCAATAAATAAGTGAACATGTTCCCTATTTGTTAAGTAAAATAATTACATTATTTACTCTATCTTATAGTAAGTATAAATCATATAGAGGATGTTCTAGTATCTTGACAATTAGACCAAAATATTAATATTAAAAATAAAATGAATAAATAAAATAACATTATTAAAATAAAAACATATGTTTTATTTGCTAAAAATCTTTAATTTGTTTCTCATATCATAAAAATAATTATGGGTTGTAACAATCTTGTAATTTTCACTTTTATCTTTTGATGGAATTAAGAGCACCCATTTTGTATTTAGGTGGTAATATCCTTTAATGTATACATCATGGAGAAAAAGAAAAATGTATGTTTCTTGTGATTGTTTCAACAAAAAGATAATGATATTTTGCATTATTGGGACTCAAAGCAGGAATTACACATTTTATTAGCTGTTTCTCAGTTATGTGGCTTATTGTATGAAAATATCCTAACTTCTGCTAGATTTAAAGTAAGAGAACCAGTAAATAGGCTGGACATAGAAAAAAAATTAAAACATAATGCAAAAAAGATAGTCAAAATAATACTGTCATCGACTGTAGAAGATTTTTAGAATTGTATTAATGATGGTTATATGGATCATGATGAATTATATCTCTTATCTATTTTTCCTTAATTGTCATTCTACCAAAATATCTTTAAAAGAACAAAAAGGAGAGTAGAGGAGGGAGAGAGAGAAAGGAAGAGACATGAACCACACAATGGTCACAGAATTTGTCCTTCTGGGCCTTTCTGATGATCCTGACCTTCAGATTGTGATTTTTCTCTTTTTATTTATCATGTATATATTAAGTGTTACTGGAAACCTGACTATCATCACCCTGACCTTTGTGGACTCCCATCTGCAGACACCTATGTATTTCTTCCTCCGGAACTTCTCTTTCTTAGAAATCTCATTTACAACTGTATGCATCCCCAGATTTCTGGGGGCAATTATCACCAGGAATAAGACTATTTCCTATAACAACTGTGCAGCCCAACTCTTTCTCTTTATATTCATGGGGGTGACGGAATTTTACATATTAACTGCCATGTCCTATGACCGCTATGTTGCCATCTGCAAGCCCCTTCATTACACAACCATCATGAACAGGAAACTCTGCACCCTACTTTTGTTGTGTGCCTGGCTAAGTGGGTTTCTGACCATTTTCCCACCCCTTATGCTTCTCCTCCAGCTGGATTACTGTGCTTCCAACATCATTGATCACTTTGCATGTGACTATTTTCCCCTCTTAAAACTATCTTGTTCAGATACATGGCTCCTAGAAGTAATTGGTTTTTACTTTGCTTTGGTTACTTTGCTGTTCACTTTGGCATTAGTGATTTTATCTTACATGTACATTATCAGGACCATTTTAAGAATCCCATCTGCCAGTCAAAGAAAAAAGGCTTTCTCCACTTGTTCCTCTCACATGATTGTCATTTCCATTTCTTATGGAAGCTGTATATTCATGTATGCTAATCCATCTGCAAAAGAAAAGGCATCATTGACAAAAGGAGTAGCTGTTCTCAATACATCCGTTGCCCCCATGCTGAACCCTTTCATTTACACTCTGAGAAACCAGCAAGTAAAACAAGCCTTCAAAAATGTGGTCCATAAAGTTGTGTTTTATGCAAAAAAATGAATTTTTGGTCAAAGAGCCCTATAGAAAAACAATTAAGCAAAATTTTGAAATTTCTCAGTATCTCTGTAAGTATCCTTGCTCTCCTAGTTTCTTTATATGCTGCATTATAGTTAATTTTATGTTTTCCCAGTCCATTTCTTCCACTTGTATACAAGTTTCTCAATTGCATTGTTTAATGACTTACTGGGAAAAAAAGTAAAATTTATTTTCCTTACAAAATTGTTTGGAAATTATATATATTTATTTAAAACTCAACTTGTGTATGATTCTATAGTAAAGTAATTTTACTATAGTAATTTTAATTCTGTATATCACTTCCTTAAAGGCACATATGTCCTCATGTTATACTTCAAATGTAGTTTCAAACTTTAATTTCTTCTGTATTTTCAACATAAATTTGATAATGTCATAACACTTTTAGACTCTACGTGTTCTCTATCATGTTCACTAAATTCAGTGCCTGGAGGTACTATGATCTGTTGCATTGTACTTTAAATGTAGAGATTTATTTCATGAAATTTAGTGCATGCCACTTTTATTTTCTTTGTAAATTAAGTTCCTTATTTAAAATACAAGAATAAATTTTAAAAGCACCATAATTTTTTAATTATACAAATATCAATTCAATTATTAATCATTAGGCTTGAGGTATAAGTCACTGATAAATGGTTGGACTATAGGAGAATTCCATCTTCAAATGTTCATTTTACTTCCATGTTCTCCCAAATGATGTTGGTAAAAACAACTTTAGGTCTAGCACACTTCATTTATAAATTTGTATACTGCTGTAACTTACAAAGTAAAATGTAAAAAAAAAGATTTCAAATAATTGTAAAATAATGAAAACTTTAATTTTATAGATTTTAACATATTTCAAATAATTTTGAGTCTTTTATGTCTCAATTATTTGCTGGTAAGATCTGGAAACCAAAGTCTTCCAAGAAGAGCAACTAACATGGAGACATCTCTGAGGAACTTAATCTTTAGGAATCTGTGATACTTTAAAAGTTAACATATGCCTATATTTGAAATAATTTTAAATACCTTTCACATGTGCCTTTTGTTGTTTGTTCACTTATTTATTTATAAATGTATCTACTAAAGAAACCATTCAGTGATTAAAAAGATTTGTTCTTGCTCTCACACAGATCTAGTAAGAGAGAAAAACATTAAAAAATGAATGATCACAATGCAATTTTATATGTTGTACCTCTATAAAGAATATATTGTATAGATATGTACATATGTTGAGATCTAAATGATAATAGTCTTACAACATTAATAATATTAATAATTTGAAAAGACATATGGATAAGGAAGTTAGAATAATTGTTATTTTTATTTATTCTATCAGGATAGCCATGATGAAGATAACAGGTAAAGAAAAAAGTACAATATCAGAAATCCTTAGATAAATAGACATACCACTCAGATCTAACAGTTAGTACTTACAATGGCAGACACAGTACTAAGTGCATAAACTTAATTATTTCTTTGCACTGCTATGACATATATAGGCACATTTTTTTCAGTTGTTAAACGACTTGATCAATGTTATCACATAAATGATATGAATAGATTTTATTCTTTTAAACTCTCCTGGCTTATTCAAACAAAAGCTGTAATTCTGATCAACTTCATTACATTAAAATATTTTTATAACTATAATATTTGGTCTGCGCAACTCTAGCAAAAAGAAAAAGTTGTGTTCATATATGTGTATTTTGGTTCCATCAAAATATTAGATTTTAATTGCGTGGCTTTTTATCTATAATTACTCAACAAACTATAAGCAATGAGAAGCATGCTTCTCTTTGGTTAAATGAGTTGCAGACCGTTTGTTGAATTTTTGAGTTATGATGCTTGACCTTCCATTTGCCATCAGTAAGAACTTAAATTAGATCATGCTATCTTTTTGAAGCTAATCCTTCAGTTTTGATATTATTTTCTAATTGTGAGATCAATTACAAAATACATGGAAACTATTTTTTTACTAAGAAATGTTATTCAAATGCAACATTAGTATGTGAAGAGCCTATGAGATGAAAGTCTTAGATTTTGTTGCAAGTCCATGACTTGTTTGGCTGTTAGGAAGGTGGAACTGCCTCCCTAACAGGTAGAGACAGTACTCCTTGCAAGCAGTCATCAGTCAAGTTGCCTGTGAAATTTTTGGATTAAATAAATATTAACAGTAAGGAGAATAGTGCTAATTGAATTCATGTTGAAACAATATGTCTTCATTCCCATTTATTTGGATTTAGACCAAGGTAATTTGCTACTCAACACAAGGAATTGAGAGTAGACGGATTCACTGTGAAAATGATGCTTTCACTCTCATCGTGTGGGTGTTTTATGTTAACATGCTGAGTTACTCCTGTAATAAGAACTTTGGCTATCAGGAAAAACTCTGTCTCCTTGAGAAAGTTATTTTCTGTGCCTCATTTTCCACATAAACTTATGAACGTTTCATGGCCTAATACATATAGGAAGCTCCCCCTTATATGCAGTGCAGGGTGATTTTTCTGTTGTTACTGGTTTTGTTTTGGTTTGGGGTTTTGGTTTGGTTTTTTTTTTTTTTTTCCCAGGCAGGGTCTGGCTCTGTCCCCCAGGCTGGAGGGCAGTGTCGCAATCTCAGCTCACTGCAACCCTCGCCTCCTGGGCTCGAGGGATCCTCCCATATCAGCCTCCTGAGTAGCTGGGAATACAGGTCTGCCCGAACCACAGCAACTGGCTAATTTTTGTATTTTTTGGTAGAGATAGGGTTTCGCCATGTTGCCCAGTCTAGTTTTGAACTCCCAGGCTCAAGGGACCCACCTGCCTTACTGTGCTGCTGGATTTGGTTTGCCAGTATTTTGTTGATGATTTTTGCATTTACATACATCAAGGATATTGGCCAGAAGTTTTCTTTTTTAGTTGTGTCTCTGCCAGGTTTTGGTATCAGGATGATGCTGGCCTCATAGAAGGAGTTAGGGAGAAGTCCTCCCTCCTCAATTTTTTAGAATTCTTTCAGTAGGAATGGTACCAGCTCTTCCTTGTACAACTGGGAGAATTCACCTGTGAATCTCTCTGGTCCTGGGATTTTTTCTTTGGTAGGCTATTTGTTACTCACTCAATTTCAGAACTTGTTATTGGTCAGTTCAAAGATTCAATTTTTTCCTGATCCAGTCTTGGGATGGTATATGTGTCCAGGAATTCATCCATTTCTTCCAGATTTTATCATTTATGTGCATAGAGGTATTTATAATATTTTCCGAGGGTTTGTATTTCTGTGGGGTGAGTGGTAATATCCCCCTTGTCATTTCTGACTATGTTTTTTGAATCCTCTTTCTTTTCTTCTTTATTAGTCTAACTAGTGGTCTATCTATTTTATTAATTTTCTCATAAAAACATATATTGGATTGCTAATCTTTTGAGTGGTTTTTCATGTCTCAATTTCCTTCAGTTCAGGTCTGATTTTGGTTATTTCTTGTCTTCTGCTACCTTTGGAATTTGTTTACTGTTGGTTCTCTACTTCTGTCAGTTGTGATGTTAGGTTGTTAATTTGAAATCTTCTAATTTTCGACTTGGACATTTAGTGCTATAAATTTTCCCATTAACACTGTCGTAGTTGTGACCCAGAGGTTCTAGTGTGTTGTATCTTTTTTCTCATTAGTTTCACAGAACTTCTTGATTTCTGCCTTAACTTCATTCTTTATGCAAATGTCATTTAGAAGCAGGTTATTGAATTTCCATGTAATTGTATGAATTGAGTGAATTTCTTAGTCCTGATTTCTAATTTGATTGCACTGTAGTCTGAGAGATTGTTGTGATTTCAGTATTTTGCATTTGCTGAAGAGTGTTTTATGTCCGTAGTTGATTTTACAAGTGACCGATTTAGAGTATTTGCCATGTGGCAGGGAGAAGAATGTATGTTGTGTTGTTTTGGGGTAAAGAGTACTATAGATATACATCAGGTCCATTTGATCCAGTGCTGAGTTCAGGTTCTGAATATCTTTGTTAATTTTTTATATTTATGATCTATCTAATATTGTCAGTGGCATGTTAAAGTCTCCCACTGTTATTGCATGGGAGTCTAAATCTCTTTGAAGATCTCTAAAAACTTGTTTTATGAATCTGAGTGCTTCTGTGTTGAGAGCACCAGTATTAATCCTTCTGCCACTTGCTTTAGTTTCAGTGTTCATATCACAGAGTGGTTCATGTCATAAAAGAAGTCAAAAGAATTCTTGAATAATCAGAACCCTTGTGCCAGATTGTCTAGTGTAAATATGTTTTCTAGCACTGCTTCTTCTGTATCTTCTTCCTCATCATCTGGCTCTGGTTTGGGAGCACTTATCTCCATTGGATTATCTGCTGTTTTCTTCTTTAGTGGTGTCTATTAGCTCTTGAAGTTCTCCAAGATGGATATCTTAAACTCCTTCACCCGCCTCCTTTTTTTTTGCCATATCCACAATCTCTTCCATGATTTTCTTGATTGTTTCTGTCTTAAATCCTGTGAAGTCATGCACAACATCTGGACAGCTTTTTCCAGCACAAATTTATTGTTTTGGGCTTGATGGCTTTCACAGTTTTTTCTGTAACAATGATGGCATCTTAAATGGTGTAAACTTTTCAGACATTAATGATGTTCTCTCAGAGATCTATTCTATAATATTGACGATCCTTTCCATAAAGTACCATGAATAATGAGCCTTAAAGGTCCTTATGACCCCTAATCTAAAGGCTGAATTGGAGACTTGTGTTTGGGGGCAAGTAGATTACTTTGGTGCCTTCTGCATTGAACTTATGCGGTTTGGGGGACCAAGGGTATTGCCCAATATCAAAAGAACTATAAAATGCAGTCTCTTACTGGCGAGGTACCTCCTGACTTCAGAGATGAAGCACTGCAAAACCAATCTAGAAAAAGGATTCTTGTTCACTCTTTCCGGTTATACAACCAAGACTGGCAGGTGGTGGTTATTTTTTCTTTCAAGGATCAGGGATTGGAGACTTTATAAATAAGA